TCGTTACCATCCTACACGTAAAAAATTATAGAAGTTCCTACTTATGGACATATCTCAAAGAGAATAATAACGAAGCACTTTGCTGACTAAAAGAGCCTGCAAATTAGCGAACTTTTCTTGAGAATCAATCATACAAACTGTAATAGCTACATGAAAATGAAGTTGGAATCCACACATTTATTTCTTCTATTATATAACTACAAAGTCAATTTCAAACATGATGCTAATTTATGCAGGAGGAATTTTAAGACATAGACTCTAACACTGCATGCACCCAAGAGGACAACATCAACCATGACTTATCCGATACCAGCCATGCGCAGCTTCTAATATCATGCTCGTACATCCATCTCAAAATCAATTCAAAATGAGTGGAGGGGTAGTCCATGCTCATATAGTGACAGGTGTGTCACTTAAAACATGTTAGGGAGTTGTTGATAAAGGGTATAAATTATAAATTGATACAAATCAGTTCTCAATAAGTGTTTCGTACTTGTAGGTAGAGCTGTCAATGGATTGGATTTTATTCCGAATCCGATAAAATTAATGGGAAATGAATTTAGGGTCCTAATCTAATAACCCGATCAAGATCCAAATCCATTAATTAAATGGATCAAATATGGATATATGTCCATTCAATCCAATTTATTATAAATAGTTGAGTTGGTAAAATTTTTTATAGCATGTTATTTGTTACAAAAATAAATAAATGAGAAAATAAAGAAATTTAGAATAAAAAAAAAATAAGAAAGTCAATTCCGTGTACACATTGATCTAAAATGCATAATGCGTAGCGAGACGTGGAGGTTTCTGGCTATTAAGGGATATATATCCTATATCGATAAATGATGTTGACATAAACCAATTAATAAAGATTTTGGACTACTCCTCTTAATAAGGTTGACCTTTTAAGATGGAACCCCAAATCTTAACATGGTATCAGAGCCCATTATGCTCCAACGAGCGATTTAATCCTGTTAAGACTCTAAAATGAGCACGTGAATTT